TGTGAACAATTTTGATCATTTGCTACTAATTAAAACACGCTAAAATTTGTGCTTGCATTTACTTAAATTAGTTTCATAGCTCAATTAAGCAATGAACAAGTAGTTAATAAATGTATTTATGTGAGATTATTTTCATATAATTATCTCAATTTTTGTATTTAAATAGAAAATTACAAGAAGGATATTTGTAAGTACCTGGCACTGCAATGAAATTAAAAATCCGATAAATAATAAATAAAATAGCGAGTAATTCATTTTCAATTCGTTGATTGATGATAATTGCTTTTACTTTCTCTTTTTTTGAAAGTTGTTATTTTTTTTTTGTTTAAATAGCTGACAAGCTAAGATGACTGACTAAATGCCTTATTACTATTTCGATTAAGTTTATTATTATTTAATAGAAGACTAATTAATGTTTGAAAGAATAAATGCATAGAGAAATGAACGAAACAAAACACACTCATTAATGTTTAAGTAAATTTTAAAGTATTCACTATATAGTAAGTTAAGCAGTTGGCTATTTTATGATGATAATAAAATGCTAAATTGTTAATGCATTCTAAAATTTTAAAATAAATCTTTGAAATGTAACCTTTTGGCAGTCATTTTTTGAATGTATTATTGTTCAAATTTCATTCATTTACTAGATATATATTAGCATACTCAATTGAAAAAACATTCTATATAATCATTTACTGCTAAAAGTATTCATCATATCTTCATAATTCTTATAATGCTATTAGTCCTAAATGGTTCTGAAAGGAGCAAAGGATTTTGCATAAACACTTTCAACTTATTAAATTTAAATCTGATTTTTGAACATATAATTGCAAGTAAGCAAAGGTCACCAAAGTGAATACATCAGTTGTGCACATGTATGCTTGCTTAACTGTAACGAATAGAATAAATTGTTGGAAGAAATAAATACTACAAGCTTCTTTAAGTAAGTACGAAATGTTCTCTTAAGTAAATACTGTAATTTCTTTTTTAGTAACACAACCTTAAGACATGTTGACTAGCTACTAATGTGAAGTACTGATAATTTGTACAAAATTTGAAAAGATAAAATAAAGCAAAGTGGAAAGCAGCACAAGCCAGAATTCCAGTGATAGCAAATAAAATGTTCTCACTGAAATTCATCTCAACACATTTCACTTCTATTTGAAATCACAAATACAAGCAATTCATATTTATATTTTTAGCACTACTCATATGCATATATTCCGGAATATTTTAATCTCTAAACTAAACATAAATTCAAACTCTCAATCAATAACTGTATAACCCAATATAAAAATCTATTCTGTCCAATGTCAGAAGTGTCCACTCATATTACAGCACATTTTTTTTTAAATATAAATAAGTACTAACTTCACTTAATAATGCTAAATTAGTACTGTTCTATTTTGTTGCTAAATGCTTATAACAAAGTTACAGCACTGACTCCATACGGTATTACCGAAAAAATTTCACAAATATTGAAAAATCTTTCAGTTACAGTATTAAAATCATAGATTGCTCTACTCTGATTATTGTTAACGTAGTAAATTGCTGCAAACTGATGTAATTCTTAACTTGCAAATTCCATACGTAATTATACCTTTGAGAGAATTTTGAAAGTTTTATTTGTAAAATACAAAATACAGTTTTCTCAAAGTTATTTTTTGTATCAGGTATTTAGAAGTTCTCTTTGAAAAGATCTAACAACTATGTTAACAACAGTAAACTAAGCTTTCAACTGACACATATAAGAAGGTTTGAATAAAAACAACTCAACTGAAAACAAGAGATATTAATTATCAATCACAAGTAATTAGGGATTGAATATGCCTTAAAGGATATTTATTAAACAAAAAACAACAAAGATGAGTGAAATAAAATATACAAAAAAGTCTGTGTGTTGAATACGACTTCTTTTTTAAGCTAATCACTGTTCCTAAACTTACTAGTGCTATCTATGTATGGATTACAGTTATGGCAAACATAATCAAAGTAAAACTATTACAGTCATTATCTTCAGTGTAAAACAATATTATCACATTACTTCTATGGACGTAAGAAGCCAAAAAAAACATGTCTTGTTTGACTAATAAATAAAATTAAAAATTAATAAAGATAAATGAAAAAAAATGTATACATACATGTGTAACTGAAAGACTTTACAATTTTATCAATCATTTTTGTATCATTAGAAATTAATGCTAATTAAATAATGTATTCAATCATTGATAATAAAAATGGCAAATTCAATACTAATTTCAAACATTAAATAGAATAATAACTTTGAGTGAGAAGTTTACTTACGAAATGTCAACAACATACAGTAAAATGACAATATTCAAATTCATTTGAAAGAAAGTACTGTTACAAAGATGAACGAGAAAGCAAGAACTGATTAGTAGTAATACATACGACACTAACAATTCAATTCAATTCAATACTAAAAATCCAATGATTGATACTCCCCATAAATTATGAGGCAAAATAAAAACCTGTTATAATTCATAATCAAGCTCTCATTTTGTGCATAATTACAGTTGATTTACCAGCACAATTTTTGTCAAACTTTTGCTAGTAACTATCACATATACTGGAAGCAAAATTAAATCCTACATACTTAGTTAGAACGCATTTTTAAAAAGCTATTAAGAAATAAAAATTCTGAAATATTGCTTTCTGAGTTTCTCAAGGAGGCAATTCTAAAAAAAATTACTTCACCAAAATTCTATTCTTAGTACACTGAATATCAATATATTTAACTGGCACTGCGTACTATCTTCTTTCGATAAACATCAAAATCATGTATCAAATTTTGATATTTCTATCAATGCTGTATATCTTTCAGGTCAATCAATCAATCAGTCTACCCTAATCTATCAAGATTCCAAAAAATTCAAAGTTTCCTCACTCAACACTAAAAATACATTTTGAAAGACCTAATTCCCAAATTTTGTAAGCATTACTTCCCCTTTTCAATAAATAACATCCAGAAACAGGAATAAATCACGAAATGATTATGCATAATAACGATTGGGGTCAAGCAATTGTCGAAATGAGGCAATATTTTGTAAAAGAGGGCACTGAAATAAACTGACCTTCTAACACTGCATTTTATTATAGAACATCCAGAGATAATCATTTGCAGTATTACTTCAATATATGTATATGTCAACGAACTTTGCCATAAATAACCTCAAAAATGAATCGCAATGTCAAAGCAAATTCAAATTTAATCAATTTAACACACTTTATTATATTTTCAGAATGAGTACGTGAATACAATCTAATGGGTACAAAAAATTCATCGAATGAAACAAATTTGTTACGATTTCACAAGAAACCTGAAGTTATCTACAATTGACCTAGCCACTACTCAAACATCATATTTATGCAGTAACATGATTAGGATAATGCATATTTTGATTAAACGAATTAAACAAATAAAGCTAAAAACAAATCAGTATTTTTTTCTCAAACAAATCTAAAACAGATACAGAACTGAGCTATAAAAATAACACAAAATAGTTAAAAGTGATCTTTAAAAACTAGATTTTAATCAAAAACAAACTAAAAGTATGACACTAGCTCACAATAAGAATCTGTCACTCGAGATACCCTCATATTTTATATTTCATGCATATTACCATGACTGCTATGTTCCATGCATATAACAACTAAAAATTGAATAACACAGTACATCTTTAGACTTAACAGATGACTCGTTACTGCGGAAAAAATATATTTGCAATCAAACCTTCAAGAATATCAGAGCTGAGAATCGCTTTAAAATGCATGCTTAACACTATGAAGTTGGAAAAAGATATAAAAACAATGAAAATGCAGAAAAAAAAAGAAATGACATCAATTATACTGATTTGAGAATCTATTAACGTCAACCTACAACTTCGAAACAATAGTTTCTCACTCCCATGAATTTTCAGCAATAATTTAATGCACTTACAACCACTTGAACTGTTTTCGAGAATATTCTGCCCTCCATACGTTTCAATGGCAAATTAATGAAGGCAACTAAAGAAAGCAATGAGAAGAAAAATATCAATGATCACCAAGTATGACAATATCCGAAAAATTATAAGACATGGTTGACTTTCTAACTGAAAGTGTGATTCAGTGAACGAAATCAGTTTTTACACAAATATAGTTAAATATTTAAAAACTATTATCAGTTTTTACATTAACTAATCTTCCTGTTTTTTGAAACAGCTGACACTGAACGTTCATTACCACTTAACATCAACTTGCTTGTTAAGAATCGATAAAATAATGGCCACACCACCATATAAAATATGTGCGTAAAACAGTAGACAGAAAACAATGGCTGAAAAACAAATCTAAAATATTTTTCACCATAAATATTTTCACTAGAAACTATGACAGATGCATTCTTTTAAATCTTTTTATAGATGACTAGATTCTTATGCTTTAAAAATGCACTAGCCTTTATCCAATTTCGTGTTTTGACAAGGCCGAATGTTAAGAAGCCAACACCCATTGATACATTGATAACGATGCGCCCAAATATGAATTTAAGTGGAATCATATAACGCTGTTCTAATAAACTTGACAGTTTTAACGAATTACCCAGCAATGAATAGAACTAAAATTTGATAAACATATTTATCATGAGAGAATTAAAAAGATTTATGATAGACTAAATTAGGAAAACGATATTTTAAATAAAATTTCTTTCAATTGGAATTTTTTAATCTCTAGTTACTATGTTAAATCAACGTGTTTTTGATTTTTTAAGTTAAAGGCATGTTTTACTTAGAGTTAGTAATACTATTATTAAAAAAAACATCAAGGAAATAAACAGAAAGTTTGCGTTACAATGCATGCATAACTAATGCCTTATGAAAAGTGAGGGTATTTAACAATTTAAATCCCACCTGCTTTTGAGCTAGAACACATGAGAATTCAAAGAGAAATAGAACGAAGTAACCAAGATGGTAACCGTGCCAAATTGCGAGATATATAAGTGTTATTAAATGACTACAGCTTCGATTACCGATCCAACATAGTCGCCGATATAGATGGCTGGAATTCAGTACACTATATTTTAACTACAATTTTCTCAAAAAAAAAAAAATTGTTTAATTTAAAGCATCAAAAACACTGCAAAGGAAAATATATGAACACAATCACAGCAAATAATTCCAGTTTGATAGGATATCGATGAAAACAGTAAAAATATATAACTAGTAATAATATAGGAAAGAAGATTTTCTATAACTTAAACACACAATTTTATAGAAGACAGATTTAATTTTATTCTGTTTAAATTAGCTTCAAAAACTACTTCTTGGCGAAAGTATTTGTGCCACAATTGAAACTACTGATAACACTTTGGAAATCTAAACCAAACTCCCATTCCAAAATGTGGACATCACGTACTCCATCCCAACGGTCTTCACCACTTGAATCTTCTCCATTATAAGCAATCCCAGCCAAAATTGCTGCTCCTTCCTACAACTTGCTGAACTAATGTTTTTAACAAAAATTTCAAAAGATCAGCAAATAGTCGACAGATGAAAGGAAAAATTCAAAGTTATATTCAAAATTCAAGCATCTTACTGAACAGAAGTAATTGAAATAATTTTAAGTTTTAAACATTTTCCAAGTCAATGAAAACATATCTCTCTTGATTATGACGTTAATATTGAATAAATAACCACTAATTAGTATAAGACTGACAGAAACAAAAACATACTGTGAAAAGCCAAGAAAAAACATAACGGCACATAGTGATGCGAAACCAAAGAACAATCCAAATTACTTTCCACTGGAATGAAAGACCCTGAAAACTCATGAGTAAAATACAGACAAATTGCCAAGGAATGTGAAAAACTAGGATACTACTTAACATAAGAAATTTAAACGCTTACGAAAAATTCAGATGAATTAAAATATTCGTTTGGTATCCACAGAACTCCCCACTGATATATTACAGCATAAAAACATGCAGCTATAAAGCGTCCAAGGCTTGGCATAAGTCTGAAATTTTTCATCGCAACAATTAACTATTCCAAACATGATTCTCTACACATGTGGATATACAAAATATTACATGTAATAATTTTGGACTAACCCCGAAACGCGCACTTCTTTTTTGTTATCAAGATATTTACCATCAACGAATGATCGAAAACGAGAAAGACTAAAAAGCGGTCCAACAAAAGTACCGCTAAAAAAGTAACCAAACGCTGCAATTTCTAAAAGATTTGGAGTCTTCTTTATAGCAGTTTGCATCTGGTATGACTTTAGCTTGTCCTTAAAATTAGAAAATTTGATAAGACTATGAAAATAAAAAACAGGATTTAGAGAGAATCAAGTTAATGAAAATATACCGCTGGTTTATGTCCATCATAAACATCCATAACGAGACCAATAAAACGTAAAGTCATGACACAAAATGGTGTTGTCCAATTGATATCATAACCATCGGTTTCCGAATAATTATAGCCAATTAACAAATGACCCTGAAAGCTAATCATACAACATTTACTGAACTTTAATTTTTTTGCATGATTTAGCGTATGACCACAAATATAATGAGCTTCAATAAAAGCAATAGAGTTAAATAATTTTAGTTTAGAAATATAATGCTGAAGAAATAAAAAATATAAAAAAATAGAAGAACTATAGTTACTAACCAAAAACGCAACATGAGCTAACACAACAGAAATCTTTTGTCCTGGAAAATATGTGACGATACAATATGCTAATAGTATACTTATAATGCTGTGGAATACTGCAATACCTGAAATAATTTAACAATTACCAAAAGTGTGCTGCTTGAAAAAGATACTAAGGAATTATACGATTTTGGAAAAAAAAATTAGAGATGAAAGATTGATTGTATTGATCTCAAAAGGCTCATCTCATAGTTTTGCTTCGTAAAAACTGAAACTACTACCATAGCTCAATATATAAAGAGCTAAACCAGCAACAACAAAATAAATGTGTTGTACAAAAGTTGGTTTATTATAAATTGCAGATCGATAAATTGCTGCCAACGGATATCCTGAAAATTACATTTACTGCAATATAACAAATACTGAGTTGAAAAACTAATCGCAATTATTCTGTTAAAAATACTAATGTTATTAAAAGTAAAAAAAATCGTGACTGATTAGAAATGTCAGGAGAAAACTAAAAAAGTACGAAAGAATACAGAAAAAATACCTTACCAGCAAAAATTGACAAAAGCAGCAATAAACCATCCTCTTTTGTATGCACAGCTGCTGACAATGCTGACATAAAGCCCATTTTTAAGGCTGAAATATATTTGGAGAACTTATCAAAATAAACACGCAACTAATTGATACAACCGAAATTTATTGCTTCTGTATGAAACATGAATTCTTCGTCATACATACTCAACTTTTGCATACTTCACTGCACAAATATGCAAAAGAAAAAAATGCCAATAACAAGAAATCAAAAAAAAAGATCAGATTAGTTCCGAGACCAATTTTGCTCAAAGATAATGCAATTTATCTCATAAATTGTGTGCGTAACATTTGAAAAATTTGCTAAGAAACTTAAAAATTAGTGGAAAACATCCATTATTACATTAACAATCATAATTAAATAAGTAGAAAACACTTTTACTTACGCATAAAACTAAGATCCTGCTTACAAAATAGAAAAAGATATCAGTGAACTTTTTATCGCATTTTTTCTTTCAAATTGCAGCAAAACTGTATCACCTGCCTGATACTCCCTTTTTTACGAAGTGTATTACTAAAGCCCTATTTCTAAAACACTCATTCTAAGTCACGATGTTTTACTGTCTTAAATGTTTGATGTAGCATTGCAGCACTATTATGAACCCAATTTGTGGCGGATTTCTATGAATTATTTGAATTCAAAATTGTAGTAATTGCTGTGCTATGATTTTGTGTTGCCTTAATACCATTATGCCATCCCAAGTCATTTATTGTCTCTTAGGCTGTAAATGATATGCAGTCGTTGTTACTTATTGTTCATAAGCATGATCAGGTCATAAATTTCTACGACTAATGTTTATCCGTTTTAATTTGCATTGTTTTAGATTCAGGTTTGTCCATGTTGAAAGCAGGAATGCAACATAATGGAACTGTTCTCAAAAATGGTTTGTTTCAAATTGATTACCTGATTTAGTCATATTTTCTTAGTTTTCCCGCTCTTAAAAGAAATAATGCAACATGACATAACATAGTCTTTGGTTTTTAAATATTTATTTAAGATTGCTGGTAGACGTAGTATGTTGAAATTTCTGAGATTTTTTTTTCAACTAACTGAATAGTTTTATATCTGGGATAGGTTTTAAATTTGTATGAATACAGTCCAGAATATTATTGAAAAAATATCTTCAAATAGATCAGATCAGTTTTATCATGTTGTAGGCGATGAAACAGATGTTTATGGAAACGATAATGACGCAGACATTGGTGGATGTGTTTCAGAACATATCAACGAGTCGTGCTCGTATAGTGATTTGTTAATGGAAGCTGTACAATCTGGTCCTAAACAGGTACTATTTAAAACTGCTAGTCTGTTTTGAGGTATTTTTTTAGTCTGTTTTGAGGTATTTTTCGGTCTGTCTGAATCAAGAAATTTACGTGGCTAAAAATTTCTTTTTTTGTAATGTATCGAGAGAGGATGTTTAATTTCATTTCATTCAGAAAAAGCTATTGAAACAACTTTATTGCCGTAGATGTGATGTCTTATCTAACTGTACTGTCAATGACCTGAGACGCGCGGTTTACCATCCGTCCTTTATTGCCCTTAATCACGTTTGTTGTTTTTTAGCTATATTTACTAATATCGTAAAGAGCTGACAAATTTAATAAATTTTTTCAGATACTTTTACATTATCTATTCTTTACAAATATTTGCTTGACAAATCAGAAGTGGCTTTTACCAAAAAACCTGGGGCTTGTTTTGCATCTTATTTAGTTCCTGAAATGTTTGTTATTCAGTAAATTACATTTGATGATTATGAAACTTTAAATTATATTTCTAAACTCTTGGTAAACTTTCAATAGCATTTTTTCGTAACACAAAATAACAATTTTTTTTACTGCTTATAATAATATTCCATTATTCTTTCAGGGTAAAAAACTGGCATCGCTTTTCATTCCAAAGATTGGTGTTGCAAACTTCTGGACATTAGTAAGGAAAGTAATTAGTTTCGAGGAGACTCAAAGGTTAGTTGACAAACTCATGTAATTTTTGTTTGGTTTGGTTTGTCATGTTATTCCAATAAAAGTAGCCGAATTTGTAAAGATAAAAAGTGAATTTTAAATTTTGAAATTCACCAGTGATTTGTAACAGTGAATTTCGTACATAAATTTTGCTTTTAAATTTTCTATTTTTTCATATCTTACATTTTCAGCACTCATTGCTCTGATTATGGGGAAGTTTTACTTTTGGCATGGAATAGTGCCCTTGATCAGTCATTTAAATTTAAGTTAGAAGAGGTCTTCATGGACATCGTATATTACTCTTTGCAACATGCCAAGTACAGCAAAAAATTTTTTTCGGTATTTCTGTTTACTATTTCATTAAAAAAGTCGCAGTTGTGTGGATAAAGGAATGTTATTTTTTCAATCTTATATATAAATATATATATGCAAGTACAGAAAACAGATATTGACTCGATTAAAATTATATGATATTAAACTGCTAATTTGAATTGTTCTATTCGAAAATAAATTTTTTTATATTACGCACATAATTTCAGATGATTTCACCTCTGGGAAAAAACAGAAACCAACAGATCGATGCGATGATCTTTCGTACCTTTCAACCAAATTTATGGCGCAGCCTAAAAGTTCTATATCCTTTTGATTGAAAGTATTTTGAAAAGAAAAAAATTTGAGCCTTAAGAGCATGGAATATAAATTCTTTACTCAAATTTAACCATAATGAATTTTTAAGGCCGCTAACGGGACAGTCCGATACAATGCTTGCTGTCTTTTTTTCTCGTTCTATCCATTTGTAACCAATAATGATGCTGTAAGTTTCAGTTGAACTTGAAATCTGTGAGTTTCTTGCAACTGAGATGTAGGCTTAGTCTCTCTCACTTCATCCTCACAGTACAAGGTTAAATGATTTAAGGGTTAAAGTCAGTTCAGTTTCATGACATTTTAAGCCTTTTTTTTGTATTCCGTCATGAGTGTATTAAAATTTGTGATGATACATATTTTTGCACGTGAATGTTCTTCATTAAAGAAATGAAAAACTGCTTCCATCATTGATTGAAAAAAAAATGAAATATATTATGCATTCATCTCTCTTATTTTGATTATTATAAACGAAAATTTTTTTCAAATTTGTTTGCTTAGCCACGTTAATATTATTTTATGACTCTATTTTTTAATTGTAATTAAGATAATGAGAGTGAATATCTACAAAAAATTAAAGACTGTACAGAAATAAATGTGAATTGAACAATGTTCAAGACTTTAGGCAGGATAAAAATTTGAATAAATAAAATAACTTTACGAAACACCCGGAAATCAGGAAAAATTGTATGCATTTAAAATATATATCAGCTAGTATTTTAATTATGTTTATTAGTGGAAGATCTGATTTAAAAGGCTTTGTTTTATTAGATCTAGTAATTTTTTTTTGAAGAAAACAGTCAGATCATTCTGTTATACTAGGGCATTAATACCAGAAAAAAACTTTATTTTTCAAAATTTTTCTGTTTAGGAAAATGTGGAAAACTTTGCCAACCATCTGAAGATTATCATCGAATTATTAAATGATGGAAGCTTTGCGATTCGAGCTGTGGCATGTAAACAAACTTTGTATTTGCTTAGTCAATATTTCGACACTTTTTCTGTGGATTTTATCAAACAAAGTTTGACACAGGTTACTTTGGTTGCTATTGTATTATGTAAAAGTTACGAATTTGAGTCTGACAATATTTCTAGTTTTTTAAAAAAGAAAAATTATGTTGGTTATTGACAATATTTTGAAGCTAACAAAATTATCTGCTGTTGTTTCGAGTTCTAATCATTTTTCGATTTTTAATATGAGTTTTAGTATGTTCTAAATATTCCATTTATTGCACAAATGTCTTTCTTCTCTCTTGATATTTTCTATCAGATTATCGATGTACTGACGTTGGATAGCATTGCTAGCGTAAGAATCGCTGTGTATGAAGGGATGTGTGATCTTCTTCATTGCGTTGGTGCGCTGAATATTTGTGAAAGAGCTCTGAAATGTCTCTTCCATAAGAAAGGAATTACTGATCGTTGTGATAAGGTTCGATTGGCTGCTTTTAAATTACTTGGCGCACTGAAAGGTCATCGCTTTATCAAGGTTTACCTACTTTTCATTCGTATTTTATTAGGTCTGAATGATTAATGACTTAATTTAGGCCGTGAATTGACTCATTTTTTAAAGCAGAAAGTTATGATATTTATTACTGAATAAAGCACCTCTTGGGTAGACGCCAGCTAAAATTAAGACTAGTAATAGAATACTGATTTATGATCGTTGAAGTACTCATATATTTCAGCTGACTGATGTCGTATCTATTGAACAAATTCTGAAGGTATTTGCTGTTGAAGAATCTGGAATAGTAAGAAAAGAGGTAGTGTGATTCTACAATCATTGTTTAAATCCATATAGATTTGTAATCTAATAGTATAGTTCAAAATTTAAGAAATTCAGGTAGTTTTGTTTCAAGATTACTAAAGTACTTTTGCGGTGGTGTATGAAATCAGGATTCAGTCCCGATCAAGTCATCCATCGTATCATTGTAATGGGAAAAGAAAGTGAGACTGCAGCATTATTTTTTCACTATATTATTGTTGCGAAGGACTTGGTGCCTGTCGAGCGTGCAGGTTATTTTTGAAATTTCCGTTTATTTATTAATCAAAGGCTGAGGAATATAGTTATTAAGAAAAGATGCGTAAATCAGTTATTTTCCAAAAAATCGTGGATACATCAATTTCAGTACATATATATATATATATATATATA